TCTTGTTAGTCACCAAGACTTGTGCTGGCTACGGCCCAGTTAGTTCTCCAAGGATCCAAAAGCTGAGATTAGTTCATTCGGGTATTGTTAGTAGACCTAACGCACCCAGACTTCTGAATAGGCGTAAAATGGAAGAACATGCAAGACTACAAACAGAACTGGACTGCTTTTTTCTCATATCTCCACCTACTTCTACCAACCCAAAACCTCACTATCGAAAGGGACCCCGAAGACAAGAATTAAAGAGGTGTTGCTGATGAGGTATCATGATGACAAGGATGCGGGAAGGTTGCATAACCCCATTGGTTTGCTTTATTCTTCCTAGTATAACCCTCAGCCAGTTTAAAATTATATTGCTTTATTTAAACCAGTCAACTGGTAACTGGTTTTGTAAAAGTCATGTGTATTCAGCTACCATGTAAAAGGAATAATCCATATTCCCAACTCGGGAGTGCTGATTACAAAAGCTTTGGGTGTAGTTCTCTAACAAATGCCTGAACAGACTTTTTTTCCTACACCTTATCTAGATATGTGCAGATTAAAGAGGCATGCTCAAGCAAAGTGGAATGTTTAAACAATTACTCCTTTTGCCTTGTAAACCTTTTATGGCTGTTTCCTACTCTCAAAGAAGAAAAAAAAAAAGTGTAATCAGAAAGTCTGACACTTATAATGCCTGGTCTAATAGCCTTTCGCTCCTGTTCTTGCATGAGTGATACTACAAAAAGTTTGTCTTGTCTGTGTTTGGAAGGTGACCCAGAACCTAAATAATTTGTCATCTTTTTGTTGGTTGGGGTTTGTTGTTATGCTTGCAGCAGATAGAATTGAGGATAAATTCCTTAGAAGTCTCTCTCCTTCCACCTTCTTCACTCATTTGGTATTGGGAGTTTTTGGAAGTGAATTTGTAGGTAAGGTGGTGGTATCGGGCTTTAAAAAAGCCTTTATTTTGCCGTGGGTCACTGGGGTGCTTTTTCCATACGTTCAGAATAGGGGATGTGAGACCTAATGAATCTGTCTCTTTGGGTCAAACATAGACCCCGATTTAAATGCTGCTTAGTTTTGTCACAAGAAGTCCCAGAATGTGCTGGCACCACACAGAGTCTCAGTTTAAGCTGTCGATTGAGGAATAAGGCAATAAAAGAAGTTAAGACGTCAATTGTCACATCTGGCAAGTTCTGTGGTGGTTTTTAATATGGACTGTGAGTAAGGGGGCATGCAGGGGAAGGAATTAAGAGACACTGAGGAGGTGTAGCTGAACAGTTTGAGTCAGGTATGTCCTGCTTGATACTGTTGTTCAAAAAAAGAAACAGTTTATTATCACTTTACCCTGACATGCAATGAGCTATTACACTAGCCTACAAAGCATAAGATAAACGAGTCTGGATTTGCTGATAGGAAGGTTGACAGGGACTGATTACATCAGAGCAGATTTCCTGCCTGACAGTGGTACCATGTGATGTAGCCCACTATCAGATGCTGTGGAGGTGGGGAGAAACAACCCAATTAATGCATGGATTTTTCTGTTTGCCTGCAGAGTGCTGGAAAGTTGCTTTGTACACCCATCCAGTGTAATTCTGCATGTATTTAATGCCCCAGTGGGGTGAAAAATCTGTCATTTTGCCATCAAAAATGTTTCACCTAGGCATAGTGGAAAAATCATATTAAGTAATGAACTCAAGCTTTTTTTAAAAGAGGATTTTAAAATTAATTCTTTTTAACTATGTGCCTTCATTTTCTTGAGTTTACTGTTCCTATAGAAGAAACAGGCACTAGCTTTATTATAACTTTAGGCTGTTTCACTCTGGAAACTGCAACGTAGGCTAACTGGCATTTTAACAGACCACAGAGGGCCTCCAGAATACATGCTTACATCGTATGTAAAGCTGTTATTGCATTTTCTCTTAATTGCAAACTTGGCAACGGAGCCTGCAATCTGAATCTAAATCTAAATGCCTACTAGTTCTTTGGTCACCAAGAGGAAAATAATGTAAAGACAACTTGGTTAGCCTTTCTATTGACTAGGGAGCTGGGGGAGAATCAACTGTTGGTTCTAATCCTGGCGTGGTGTGCTGGGAGGCACATGTAGCAGTGGAAAACCATGACTGCAGTCTGATTGCTCCATGATCCCTTTCAAGGTAAACCACGGTCTAAATCTAATGCCTAGCAGCAAAACAGGCCCACCCAGTGCAAGCAGTATGGTATTACTGCTAAGGCTGGCTCACAGAAGAGCTTGAGAATTCAAGCAGCATCGTAAAAATTCCCCTTTGTAACCTCAGCAGCTCTTTTTGCAACAAGTCTATGATGTGTTGGTGAACACAGGCTTCTTAAGCTTTTTCCCCTCTCAAGACCTAGCACTAACTGTCTTTCTGATAACAGAAACCTACTTTTTTATTTGTGGCTGGGGAATGACTGGGAATATCTTTGATATTAATGTTTCTCTTAGTTCCTCAAGAGGTGGGACTGAGAGGTGACATACTTCTCTTGGAGATGTGAGTAAGCCAAGCTAACAAAGCTCAAGTGCAACCGAGGTGAGAAGAGAAGGCAAAAGTAGTTTGTAAGTCGGCTGCTGTGAGCTTCTGTCGCTTCTTACCATACAAGTCCTATCAGCCAGACAGGTCATTTGTAAAGGAGGTACTATGTAAATTGAGAGCACGTTTACAGTCCAGAAGGCCCGTTGAGCTGGTGGAGTTAAGGTACACTGACTTCCATAGGCAGCAAGCAGGGGCGGGAGCAAGGTGCCTGACATTCATGCCATGCCAAATCCATACCTCTGTCCTGCTTCTGTTAATTGGTCGCAGATCAGACTCCAACAAGCAGGTAACGGGCTGACAGAGCTGAGAGGCCTGGGATCCTGTCCACTTCTACAGTGGTTCCTTGATCTGGACTGACTTGTAAAGGTCTCCTACCCCACCCTAGTTTCAGTGGTTGAATACAAAGGGAAAAGGAGTCAGCAGTGTCTGGGGTACAAGGGCTGAATCAAACAGCGTGAGGGCACTGAATCCTTGTCCTGTGACTCAGTACCTTCCCGCTGAGAACCTCCCTTGGCATGTGTTGTCGCACTGCCCCGAAGCACTAGCTGGGGTCAGAGCTCTGCTGCCCTGTGGGCTGTACAAATAGCTGAAAAGCCAATCCCTAGCCCTAAGGAGCATCTGTTGTGAGGAGACAAATAGCACAGGGGAAAGAAGGTGAAAGGGAGAAGCAGTCATCTGTGTAAAAAAAAAAAAAAAAAAAAAAAA